CTTTCCCCCGCCTCGCTGTGAGCACGTTTCTTCTGCGTTGATTAGCTCTATAATTAGGAGGCACTTTCCTTTCTGCCTGAACAGAGGTGGGGCTCCAGGGAGCCAGAGGGGCTACTGGGTGCAAGCCTGTACCCCGCTCCCTGCAAGGGGCTGCTGCTGTTTTAGGCCAGCCCAGCTGGACCTGGGGTTGAGGTGAGGGTTCCCACAAATGCTAGTCCAGCACACTGGCTGGCCCTGGCCCCGTCTGTGCCTACATCCTGGGGGCGCTTCCTGAGCCCTCCATAGGGTCTGCTGCCTTGCGATGGGTCTGCTGCAGCCAGGAGCAGCTGAGGCAGGATACAGGCTCCTTGTGCTTCCTGGAATTCTGTGAAAGATGCCAGGGTCTCTCCTGCCCCTGAAACCAGTTAAATCAGAGTTGTTGGGGTGGGGGTTCAACATGGTGTCTTTGAATGAAAAGTCCCCAGGTGGTGCTGGGTGTGCACGTACTATAGCTGAGGACCTGCCCTGGTTTGTTTACTGATCAGTTGATTGATTAAGGCAGGGTCTGGCTCTGTTGCCCAGGCTGGAGTGCAGTGGCGTGATTACAGCTCACTGTAGCCTCAACCTCCTGGGCTTAAGCGATCCTCCTGCCTCAAGCTCCCCAAGTAGCTGGGACCACAGGCATGTGCCACCACACCTGGGTAATTTTTTTTTTTTTTTTTAATTTTAGTAGAAACAGTGGTCTCTATGTTACCCAGGCTGGTCTCCAACTCCTGAGTTTAAGCAATCTACCCACCTCGGCCTCCCAAAGTGCTGGGATTACAGGCATGAGCCACTGTACCTGACCCCTGCCCTGGGTTAGCGGGTGCAGCTTACCTGGAGGCTGAGGCTCTCACGGGCAGGCTTCCTGAGCTTTCCATTTACCTGCACATGAATCACCTGGTGTCTTGCTCAGCAGCAGATGTGACCCAGCAGGCCTGGCCCGGAACTTGAGATCTGCACTTTGACGATCGACAGGTCATGCTGTAGCTGCAGGTCCAGTGACACCTGGAGTCTCGAGGCTGTAGGGAACAGTCTAGAACTCCACTGTGCAGCTGAGCTACCTGGAGGGGGAGTGCTGGGCTTACTCCCATCAGTTTCTGGCTCAGGAGAAGGTGCTGCTGCTGCTCCGGGGATCACACCTGGCCTTAGAGCATCCCTGCAGGGTCTGGCTCTCTGGGGTCAGGGTGGCCTGCTCTGTCCAGGCCAGGCCCAGCTGGACTTCGGGTGGTTTGAGGCTTCCCACAAATGCTGGTTGAGCAAGCTGGCCCGCCCCAGCCCTGTCTCTGCCCAACCCCTGGGGGGCTTCCTGAGCTCTCCACAGTGCCCAGAGACACAGGGCCAGTGTGTCTAGAGTAAGTGGTGCCTTCTGTGTGGGCTGTAGGGGCCCTGAGCAATCATGGTGGTGGGAATCAGCTCCTGGGGGTGAGGAGGCATCATGTGCCAGCACCTAGGGGCTCATCTGATCCTCCACGCAACCCTCTGAAGTAGTGCTCCCTGTGCCCATTTTACAGACAAGGAAATTAAGGCTCCACCGGTTTGATGATCTTGACAAAGTCATGATAAGTGGTGGAGCCAGGCTCAGACTCAGGCTCCCTGCCGGCTTCTGCTGCCCTCTGCCGGTGACCTAGGGCAGTTACTCAGCCCTCATCTTCCTATAGAAAGAATGGGTTCTCTGGGAGTACAGGGGTGACTGGGAGAAGCAACTGGGATTCTTCAACTCTAACCTTGCCATTCTCAGCGTTCAGCACCCTGGCCATCGCTGCACCGTGATCGCTATTGCTTGTGACTGGAGCCAAGGGCCCAGTGTGCAGCTCTTCCCTGGGAAGGGCCACCTGGGTGTGGACACAGCTGTTTGGACACACAGGTGTGCAGCTGCACGTCAAAGTGCCTGCCTCTGCTGTTGGGGATGAGGAGGACACAGGGTGCAAGAACAAGGGACCTCAGGGCCATGTGGGGGTGGCTGGCAGGGGACCCTGCAGGGAGAGTGCTGTCATCACCATCGTTCCACAGCTGGGAAGGTCAAGGGCTGGCCAGATGCACCCAGGAACAAGGACCGTGCCGGCTTCAGGGCCAGGATTCCTGACTGGGAGCAGCCATGTGGGGAACCTGCCTGTCCACTTGGCACTGAGCCTTGGGGAACCTTCTTGAAGTGCTTTGTGGCTAGGCAGGGTGGGCCCTGCTAGGCCTGAGCTTTCGGGGGTAGGGGCTCTTGGGGCATCCCCCAGACCTGTAGGGTCTTGGTTTGTGGGCTGTGTTTCTGGGGGGGTCTCCAGGTAGGCAGGATAGGAGGAACCCAGGGCACCCCATCTCTCAGGTCAGTGTGGCTCTACACGGCCCCCCTCAGGCTCTGCTGACTCCCTGAAGGGGTTCTGAGCTTGCATGGATCCCCTGCTTGCCTGAGACACCCTGCATGCACCCTCTTCAGGCCCCCACTCTCGAAGGTGACCAACTCCCTTGTGGCCTACCCAGCCCCTCTTTGGCTGCTGACCAGTGGGCTGCGTCCCCAGGCTGGCTCCTCAGCTCCCAGGCAGGCCTCCCAGCACTGAGGCAGGTCTTTCAGCAGGCTGGACATGGGGTGGCCTTGCCCTGTGGGGGATCAGCAGGGGCTGAGTTTGTGGGTGTCAGAGTGCATCCCCCACAAATAGTATGTCCTGACCAGAGCAGCCTGCAGCGGGAGAGGCCAGTGGCTTGGCAAATGCCCTCTCTGATGACCCCAAGAGCTTGGCGTGGGGAGGCCCAACTGATCAAGATTACCACCTGCTGGTCACCTTTTGAACCCAGAACTGTGTGATCGTGGGGAAGTTGTCCTGCCGTGCATTGGCCTTGGGTAAGATGCCTGGGGTCAGGCTGAGCAGCTGTGGGCAACAAGGGGTCTGTGAGCCTGCCTTTGTGATTTCATTGCACAAATGGTCATTGAGTGATACCCTGGGCCAGCAATAGGACAGACAAGTGAATGATACAGCCACTTCTGGCTTCTTGGGTCAATAGTCTAGGTTAAACCCAGGGAGGCTTCCTGGAGGTGGTGACACCTGGGTTTGACTTGGAACTCCTAGGGTTTCCTTAGTTGAGTTCCTTCCCACTGGGCCTCAGTTTCACCATCTGAAAAATGAAGGATTGGCTCACATCACTGGTTCTTGGGCTGGAATGGAGGGCGTGTTGGAGTACAGAAACAGCCCACCCCTGAGTTTCTGACCAGCAGGCCCAGGGCTAGGCCTGAGAATGTGCATTCTAACTTGTGTGAAACACTGCAACTGGCCTGAGTTTGAGGGGAGCATTGTGTGAGTCTGAACCATGACCTCCCTGCCCTGCAGTGGGGGCAGCATTGAGCCTGGGGGCCTGGACAACCCACCTGGCCTCATCGTGGGGCCTTTGGTTATGTTCTTGCTCCCTTGCCAAGGATTTCCTAAGAATTCCAAGGAAACCTTTAGGCGTGTGGTGGGAAAACCAGTGTCGTCTGAGCCAGATGCCCTTTTTCCTTGACAGGAGCGACAGGGATGTGCCATGTGTGGGGGTGGCGTGGGGGGTGGTCAGCTCTCTGCTTGTAAGGCAGGGGCCCATGGTCCTGTCATGGCACTGAAGTAATCATGGCTACCATTTGCTCTGTGCAGTAGGGAAACACGGCTCAGAGGCTTGTTCCATCCACAAGGCCCATGCTGAGCACCTGCAGCTTGTCTGAGGAGGGCATGGACGCACTTCCCACTACTTCCTGGATAATGACCTCTTGGGCATGAGGAGGGAGCCCTTCCCCAGGTGGGGGGGCAGTGTGATTTTGGGCGCATGCCCCGGGAGACCGCCACCAGTGACAGCAGAGGGAAGCCAGTGCAGTCGAGGCCGCCTGTGGCCCTGCTGTGGCAGGAGGGTCTGGCTCCTCCACCTGACTTCAGCCACTGGCACCCGTGCTGCCTGCCCTTGAGGGCCAGGAGGGTGAGGCTGGCCCTATGTGTGGCCAAGGCCATGGGCAGGCCACCCCTAGCTCTTATGCTGGCAAATGCTGCATCGCCCAGTCCCCTCTTGGCTCCTCTCAGGCGTGGCTGGCTGGCTGGGGCAATGGGAAAACAGGCCCAGAGGGCTTCAGACTCCCTTGGGCTTCACAAGAACTCCTAGCTGCAGGGTGAGATGAGACCCTGCGCCCCATCACAACGGGCCATGCCACGAGGGACAGTGGGCACTGAGCCCATCAGGAAGCCTGGCTGCTCAGACACGTGCATCTTAGGGGCACTCAGACTTGCAAGCCCCAAAGCCAGTTCCAGATTTCTCCCCAGCTTCGCCCGCATGCCCTGCCTTGTGCTGTCAGCCGCTCGGCCCAGCACCTTCACCATTTGGAGTGGCCCTGCCTGCCCGCCTGGGCACGCTCTCCCTGGGCTGTGACAAGACCCACTGTTGGCTTCCAGATGCCTCCCCTGCAGGCTCCCTCGCCCGCAGCAGCCACCACAAGTCAGACCACTGTGCTCAGAGCCCCAGGCTTCCACCTCAGGGAAGCAGCACGTGTGGTGAGGCCAGCCCTGTTTTCAGACTGTCCTCCCCACTCCCCGCTGCACAGAACTCTGGGTCAGGACCTCGGCACTCACTGTCCCTCATGCCCAGAGCGTTCCTTTCCTATCCTGGAAGCTGCGTGGCCAGCCCTATCAGTTGTTCACAGCCCTCTCACCCCAAGCGGCCCTGACTGCTCACCACAGGTTTCCTGTCCCTCCTCAGATGTTTTTTCCAGAGTTTCTCTTCTCTGATGGCTCTGAGTGTCCAGGCCCCTGGAATGTAGCCTGGCCTGCAGGGAGCTGAAGACACAGTGATCAGATATGCAGCGGCTGGGGGACACTGAGGAGCCTGCCTGCCCCGGGATGGGGGTGTCCCCTGCCAGTGTTGCTGCGCCCCCACCACGCACTCCTGCCCACATGCACACAGGCTGCAGGCTGCTTGGGAGGAGGGTCTGGGGAGCTGTGGAGGCACCTTTGATGCCTCATGCCCTTGCTCTTCTCTACCAGGAAACTATGCCCCAGACATCTGTCGTCTTCTCTAGCATACTTGGGCCCAGCTGTAGCGGACAGGTGCAGCCTGGCATGGGGGAGCGTGGAGGCGGGGCCAGCAGCGGCTCTGGGGACCTCATCTTCCAAGATGGACGCCTCATCTCTGGGTCCCTGGAGGCCCTGATGGAGCACCTTGTTCCCACGGTGGACTATTATCCTGATGTAAGTGCCTGGGCCCTTGTGGGGTGAATCTAGTGGGGTGACCTGGGCTCCAGGAGATGTCGGGTGTGGGAGGGAGGCCCCCATCGAGTGGTAGAGCTGGACAGGGCTGCAGGAGGGGTGGGGCAGTGGGGGGCCCAGGCCCACTTCCAGGGCCTTCTCTGCCTTCTGCTCTGCATATACCCCCAGCTAGGCAGGGGACCTGGGGAAACCTGCTGTGACTTCCCTGCTGCTGCCCCAGACAGGAGGAGATGATCCTGAGGACACAAGAAGCAGAAACACACAAGGGCCGAGCAGGGCCCTGAGTTTTGAGCAGGGCCTCCAGGAGGAAGAGGAGTTTTAAAGGGTAAACTCCTGGCGAGGGCACAGCCAGCCAAGGTCCTACAGCCCAGGGCTGAGCTGGGAAGCTGGTTTGTACATAAACCCTGGTGGTCCAGAATGAAGAGATGGCCTGGCCTGCCCTGCCCTGCCCTGTCAGCAGGACACTGTTCAGGCTGCCTCAGGGACTGTCCTTAGGCAGTAATCCAAATTCTCCCTTTCACCTCAAGGTGGCATGGTACATTCTTGGATCAGAGAAAGCGTTCCCTTGTCAAGTGTGGCTTCCCTCCCCCTGAGGTGGATGTCTCTTAGCAGCAGTAGCTCTGGGCCTGCTAGCTCCCTCTTGTGAGCTGAGCATCCGCCCTCTGGGAGGGCTTGTTCTGCCTGCGTCATGCTACCCCCTCTCCCATCCTGCCCTGCTTGTCAGCCTGGGAGTCAGACAGCTTGCAGGGAGGTGGTTGGGAGGGATGCCACCCTCCAGCTTCCACTGAATGGGGCTGCAGTCAGCCCGCTTCACCACCTGCCAGGCCTCCTCCACCTTCCTGGGCTTTGTGGGGGGCCTTGCCTTTGTGTTGCCCACTCCTCCTCCTCCTCCATCTGTCCTTCTGTCCGTCCCGTAAGCCATGTCAGGGTTTGGCTGGGGCAGTGCAGACAGGCTGCTGAGTGCCCATAGGGGAGGGACAGGCTAGGGGCCCAAGGCCCTGAAGGAGTCCAGGGCAGGGCTGTCTGTGGGGCAGGGGCCTCAGGCCGAAGCTGGAGAGGCCGCCCCTCTCAGAGGCCTACCCCAGAGGAGCCGCCTTGGCGGTCACCAAATGTGGTCCCTGTGCCCTGAGATCCTGTCCCCTTCCCAGGAAAGGACAGAGTGATGGCAGGGCCAGGAGAGTCCAGTTGGGCATCAGCTCCTCCCTGCCACCCCACCCATCCCCATGTGCACAGGAAGTCGAACACACTCACACACAGTCACTGTGCGCCTTCCTGGAGATGCACAGGCTCCCCTTGGGTGCCCTGCCCTTGGCTAAGAGTTCCATGGCGGGCTTTTCCTTCATGTCTGAGTTGTCTCCTTAGAAGGGGACCCTGAGAGATGTGCTGGCTCCGACCCTCAAGTCCCCATGCTGCACAGTCTGGGGCAGGGCATGGGAAGTTTGCAGGATGTTAGAGGAGTCCCCAATGCTCCAGGGAGGGCTGCGGTGGGCAGTGCTAGCCCAGGCCCCTGAGTCGTGCTCCAGGAGGCCTGCGCATCCAACAAATGCAGTCTGGTTTGCTTCTGGCTGGGGCAAGAAAAACCGTGTTATGAGGGAGTAGGGGTAGAGGCTCCTGGAGAGCCCAGCCTGCGGCAGCCACACAGAACAGAATACCTCTAGAGAGCCCCAGGCAGTCTTCCCCACCTGCACGTCCACCCTGTCCACAAGCAGGAGCCAGAGTGAAGTTCCCACAGACACTGACCCTCATTAGACAAAAGTCCCAAGAACCCAGCCCATGAGGATCTCAATGGAGGACACGTGGATGTGGTGTGGAGGGGCCCTGCTCTGGCAGTCAGGGTCTGGGCCCAGAGCTGGTCAGACAGTGCAGGGGCCCCAACGAGCATTGCCCCTCAGGCCACACCCCTGCTGATGAGGCCTCACCCCACGAATCAGCCCTGCTCCTAACAGGCCCCGCTCCTGTGCCAGCCTCCCTGCACCCCACCCTACTCACCTGCGACCTCTGGCCCAGCTCACGAGGATCTGGAGAAGCAGCTGGCTTGCATCCTGGCGCAGCGAGCACCATGGGCCAGGCAGCAGGCCCATACCAGCCCACAGAGCCCCACCAATGTCCCAGGCTGGGGTTAGCCCTATGGTGGAGTCGGGCAAAGGGTGCTGGAGAATCCCAGCAGAGGAAGGCTGCTAGGAGCCCTAGAGAGCTGCTGGGAGGCGGGCTCGAGCTGTGCCTCCTAGGTGGGCAGGGCCGGGATAGCAGTAAGGGGAGGAAGGGCCTGTAAGGCGAAGGGAACCTGGCAGGCGAAAGCATGGCCGCGGGACGGGCGGTGCTGGGCTTGGGAGGCAGCCGGGCCAGGTGAAGCGGCGGTGAGCCCCTGGGGTGCCGCCTCTGCCGAACCTGACCAGCCCTCCGCCCTCCGCCCTCTCTCTGTCTCCTGCCTTCAGAGGACATATATCTTCACCTTTCTCTTGAGCTCCCGGGTCTTCATGCCCCCTCATGACCTGCTGGCCCGCGTGGGGCAGATCTGCGTAGAGCAGAGGCAGCAGCTGGAGGCCGGGCCTGAAAAAGTGAGACGGGGCCTGGCGGGGGCCGGCTAGGGTTGGGACTTCGCCTGGCCGGGGCTGGGGGGCGGGGTCAGGGTCGGGGAGGAGGTGGGGGGCTGGGGGCGGAGTCCAGGGTGGAGCCTGGGGCGGGGTCAGGGCTAGTGGCCGGTTGGGGGGGCTGAGGGGCGTGGTCAGGGCTGGGGTTGGGGCGTGGCCTGGCGGGGTCAGGGGTCAGGGTCCGGGCTAGGGTTGGGCGTGGTCTGGCTGGGGCCGGGGCGGCAAGGTCAGGGCTAGGGTTGGGGCGTGGCTTGGCTAGGTCATGGGGGCGGGTCTGAGTTGGGGCGTGGCGCCACGCTGGGCTGGGGTGAGGTCTGGGATGGGGCAGTGTGTTGGTTCTGGGTTAGGGGCGTGGTGGGGGGGGGTGGGCTGGGAGCATGGGCGGAATCCCCTGGTTTGGAGGCGGTGCGGCAAGGGCAAAGAAAGCTGCGAGGCTGCGGGCTGGGTGGTACAGGGGCCCTGGGGCAGGGTCCAGCGGGCTAGGTAGGCTGGCGTGGAGCCTTGGGGTACGCAGGAGGTGGTTGGCCCGTGGGACGTTCTTGGGGGTTGGAGGGTGGGGGTGCGGCTCCCGAGCGTCGGGCACAGTTCTCCCTCCCCAGGGGCAGAGGCCGCGTGGGCAGCTTCCGAGACGATCGGAGTCATCTTGGCCAAGAGGGCTGGTCCCCATGCCCTGGGCCCTGTGCTGAGTGGGGTCGTGCGTGCCTGTGGACTGGGGCGCGGGGGCACGTCGCCTCCCCTCGGGGTCACACTCTTTCGAGCACAGCCGCCCTGCTCTCAACCGCAGGGGGCAGACGGGAGCTCTCCTCTAACTGGATGGCTTGGCTTGGGTTTTTTTTTTTTTACTGTATTCTTTTTATAGGTAACATAGAAAATGGAACTAGTTTTTTGTGTCACCTTAGATATAGGGTAGAATATAATTTATTTAAGTGAAAAAGAAAGCCGATTTACAGGGAAGGAACCAAACAGGAGTCTGCTGTTCAGGTTTGGTCAAACCGCAGGTGGCACGCAGCTGGGGACTGTGTCCAGCACAGGCCCGGGGTGTGGTGGGGGTCCTGGGGGTGTGGGGTGCTTGCACTATTTGCCGCTCTGGCTTGTGGGGCCTCACTCTGTATGCCCTGCTGCCCCAGGCCAAGCTGAAGTCCTTCTCAGCTAAGATTGTGCAGCTCCTGAAGGAGTGGACGGAGGCCTTCCCCTATGATTTCCAGGATGAGAAGGCCATGGCCGAGCTGAAAGCTATCACACACCGTGTCACCCAGTGCGACGAGGTGAGTGCTCCCTGGGCCCTGGCCATGGTCCTTGGGTGTGTGCGGGGGTCTGCCCTCGGGAAGGTGGGGGCTCTGTATGTGGTCCCCATTCATGTTACTCCCTCAGGAGGGTTGCTGGGTGGCCCCATTCAACCTCCCTTCCCCAAGATGACAGCTTAGCTGGCCAGCAGTGGACCAGGGTCACCCATGACACTGCATGCAGGGACCTTGTGGCCTGGTTTCAGGCCTGGTGATCGTTGCCTTGACCCTCTCCTGGCCCTTCCTGTCCTTGTCCCTGGAGTGGGAGCCTATGGAGAGTTTGTAAGGCGCTGCCTGTCCTGGATTAGTGAGGAGGAGGTGGGGATAAGGCTTTAAATTGGCCTCCCATTTTTCAAATGTCCTTACCCTTGCCTTTGGTGGAGAGGGAACTGGAGATGCTGGGGCCAACTGGGCCTCCAGAGTGCAAGCATTCCTTGTGCTTAGCAGCTCCTGTCCACCTAGAGTGCTCCAGGAGGAGCCAGAGACCCCAGGACACCTCCTACCGGGGGTGGAGGCACCTGGCTTTGGCAGAAGCCTTTCCCATGCCTGAACTGTTCTTTGGGCCCCTCCTGCTACAGGAAGCAGCTCAGTGGGCTGCCTCTGAAAAAGTCATGCTTTTTAGACCCAGAAGCTCAGCCCTTAGCCTGTCTCTGCCCTTAGCCTTGTCCTGCAGCAGGACAGCCCACTGAGACCCCCTCACCCAGCAGTCCCCAGAGGAGCCCACACTGTGCCCCACTTTGTCCTTGAAGGCCTGAAGGCTCAGGCTTAGATAGGGGCTGTAGGCTCATGTTGGTCAAGCACGTTCCTGGAAACAAGATAGTGGTGGTGGCCTTGCTGCCAGCCCATGCTGGCACCCTTATTGCCCTCGACCCTACAGGAGAATGGCACAGTGAAGAAGGCCATTGCCCAGATGACCCAGAGCCTGCTGCTGTCCCTGGCTGCCCGGAGCCAGCTCCAGGAACTGCGAGAGAAGCTCCGGCCATCGGCTGTAGACAAGGGGCCCATCCTCAAGACCAAGCCACCTGCTGCCCAGAAGGACATCCTGGGCGTGTGCTGTGACCCCCTGGTGCTGGCCCAGCAGCTGACTCACATTGAGCTGGTTAGTGCTGCCTCGTGCCCTACCTGGGGGGTGGGGGCTGAGGGACCACAATGCCTCTTTCGGCACAGCGCTGCAGGTCCCTGCTAGTCACACCGAGCCATCGGAAGCCCGCTTGCCAGCCCTGACCACCATGCTTCATGCCGGGTGTGTGTCTGTCTGAGTGGCAAGCACCTCTGTGCCTGGCACTCACGTCCTCAAGAGCACAGCAGTGCTGTGTGAATGGGAGGAGCTGGGGCAGTGTCATCCTGCAGTAGGGACCACAGTGGCCCCAGGATGGAGGACTGACCTGGGAAGAGGTGAAGGGCCTGTGTCCTGGGCAGGCCCTCCTGTCCCTGTCCCCACTTCTATGCAGCACTGTCCCTTCTCCTCCAGGGGAGGCTTGTCACCTTCCCTTTGCTGTCTCCCACCCCAGGACAGGGTCAGCAGCATTCACCCTGAGGACTTGATGCAGATTGTCAGCCACATGGACTCCTTGGACAACCACAGGGTGAGTGGACCAAGGCCTGCAGCACACTCCGGCGCCCCTGCCAGCCCTGTTTCCCAGGCACCTGCGCTCCATGCAGGGTGGGTATGGGCCTCACTCAGTATGCCCTGAGCGCCTCCGGAGTGCTGGGCCGTGAGCCCCGATGGACATGGCACTGGCCCTCCTGGCACCTGCTCCAAGAGGCCTTAGATGGCCATGCTGCTGCTGGGAGAGGGCACAGACTCTGGCTGGGGAGCCAGTCTGGCCTGCCAGCCCTGCACTGGTCAGCGAGGAGCCGGCAGGCATGACCAGCACTGCTGCAGGGCAGGCCAAGCCATGGCCGGGGACCAGGGCCAGCTGTGGGGACTGAGTTTTCCAGTCAGGGTCCTCCAGGCCCCCTATGACCTGCTGTGTCTTTCCCAGTGCCGAGGGGACCTGACCAAGACCTATAGCCTGGAGGCCTACGACAACTGGTTCAACTGCCTGAGCATGCTGGTGGCCACTGAAGTGTGCCGGGTAAGTGCCCATAGCAGACATGGCGGGGTGGCTGCCACGCCCACACTCAGTGAGGCCCTGATCCTGCCCCAGAAGTTAGGTGATGGAATTTTAAGAGTAAAAGCACAAAGTCCCTGTTGCATTGGCAGGGCCTTGGTGGTCCCCCAACCCTGACATACAGTGATTCTTTCAATGACAACAGACACCCCGTCCATGGAGTGTTCCCCCTGTGCCCAGCACCATTTTTCTCACCCATGGGGAGCTTTGCCGGCCCTCACAGCCCCCTGGGGCAGACGGTACCCTCCCTTTGATGGCTGAGGAGCCTGAGTATAGGCCGGGCACGTGTCTGGGCCTCCTAGATGCAGCTGTGGACCTGGACCAGCCCATGGTGGCTGGAAGCCAAGTCCCAAGGTCCTCCCTGCCCCTCCGTTCCTCTGCCCGGTGGCCCCAGCTCCTGCTCTCCACTGGCATTGCCATGCTGAGGTCACCTGCCACCTTCCAGGTGGTGAAGAAGAAGCACCGGACCCGGATGTTGGAGTTCTTCATTGATGTGGCTCGGGAGTGCTTCAACATCGGGAACTTCAACTCCATGATGGCCATCATCTGTGAGTGACTAGGCACCCAGGGCAGGGCTGTTGCATGGCCTGCCTCCTGGCCCTGACCCTACCCGCTGTTCTCTGCAGCTGGCATGAACCTCAGTCCTGTGGCGAGGCTGAAGAAAACCTGGTCCAAGGTCAAGACAGCCAAGTTTGATGTCTTGGAGGTAGTCACCTGAGCCCCTGTCACAGCTGCGAGCTGCACCCACCTCGTCCTGCAAGAGGCTGAAGGGGGCCCTGACAGTGGGGGTGGGGGCTGCCCTCCTCTCCCTGGGGTCAGCACCCACAGTGCTGGCTGAGCTGGCTTGGTGTGTCCATCCTCCAGCAGCAGGGACTTAAGGCATCCTCCATTACTTCAGGCAGAACTGGCATTGTGTAAGGCGAGTTTTAGAGTGGACAGCGGTTAAGAAAGAGTTTGACAAGAGTGGGGTTGATTTGGAAAACAACACCTTTTCCTTGGTCAGTGTCTGGTCTCTGGGTCCTGGCTGGTCTAGATGGCCCAGAAGCTGGCAGATAGGGTTACCTGCAGCCTTCCTCAGATGTGTGTGATCACAGAGTCAATTTTTGCAAAGCATGTGTCTTGTGGAGCTAGTCAGTTCTAAGAGGTGTAGATCTAAGTAGAGGAGCAAAGGGAAGTCTTGAAGGAAGAAGGGCGAGGGTCAGGCCTGGCAGGCAGGGCAGCGACACTTCTTCATGGCTTTCCAGAGGACGCCAGAAACTGAACTCAGAAGCCCTGGCTGCAGGGCTTAGCCAGGTGGGCGTCCTCTCCCCCGCGCTAACACCGGGGCTGCCCAGGGGCCAGGTGCCTTTCCTGTCCACTGCCTTCTGCTCTGCAGATGGGTGTCCTGAGCAGGTCGGAGGGGCATGGGGCTGCAATGCTTACCAGGTCCTGCCTGTGCCCACAGCATCACATGGACCCGTCCAGCAACTTCTGCAACTACCGCACAGCCCTGCAGGGGGCCACGCAGAGGTCCCAGATGGCCAACAGCAGCCGTGAGAAGATCGTCATCCCTGTGTTCAACCTCTTCGTTAAGGACATCTACTTCCTGCACAAAATCCACACCAACCACCTGCCCAATGGGCACATTAACTTTAAGGTGAGCTTAGCTCCATGGGGTCCCAGCACAGGGCAGGGGAAGCAGAAACTGAGCTACTGGAGCTGCCAGGCTGTGGCCTTTGGTCAGGGTCTGTGGATTTCCTGAGCCCTGCCTGAGGTTCACAAGGGCCTTCAAGACTGAAAGCCTCAGGTGGATTGGGGGTGTTATTTTACTGCAAGGTGTGAAGTGAGCCCCCCTGTACTTTTGGGTGGATGGCCTGGTTGCAGAGCTTGGAGTCACAGGGAATTGTATTTATCCAGGACTGTGGTTCCAGCCTGGACCCACCAGTGAGACAGTCCTGTACACCCCTGTGGGATGAGGGGTCAGGAGTGCTTTAGGCAGGAAGGGACTTTAGCAGGGAGGAGGTGGCAGAGAATCCCAGATGGAAGTGAAGAGCCTGCCTGGTGGGCCTGAGGGCACCTAGTGAGGACGGGAGGACAGGACATAGGTGGCAGGGCAGGTTTAGGGGGCTCTGGGCTGCCAGATGCCCACCTCACACAGGTGAGGGGTGGGCAGGAGCTGGGATCCCTCTGAAGGTCCCAGAGAAGGGACATCACGACACATTCTGGTGGGCGCTGCTGAGCTGGGTGTGGATGGGTTGCCTGCACTGATGACACCAGACTGAGCCTCAGGCTAAAGTCATCAGTGGGGCCCTCTTTTGGTCCCCACACATAGAGGCACAGACCCTGCTGCTGGCCTGATGGCCCAGGTGGAGGGCTGGACAGAGTGGCCTTGGAGGACACCCCCGGCTCTGAGGCTGCACGATGTGCCACCATGGCCACAGACTCAGCCAGCAGGACCACTGTCCCATCTCGCTGGGACCAGTGAAATGAGCAGGAGACAGAGGCCAAAACCTGTGTCCCCTGCCCTGACTGAGGGTTTGGAGCTTAAAGTAACAGATGAACATCAGATGGTTTTGTTCCTTCAGAAATTTTGGGAGATATCCAGACAGATCCATGAGTTTATGACATGGACACAGGTAGAGTGTCCCTTCGAGAAGGACAAGAAGATTCAGAGTTATCTGCTCACGGCACCCATCTACAGCGAGGAAGGTGAGGGCTGCCTCCCAATGCAGCATGCCTTCCTCCCCACCTGACTCACTGTCCAGGCCCTGTGCCCTTTGAGGTTGCCCTGGGAGGTGGCTTGCTGGCTGCTCCATGCCACACAAGGCTGCCTCTGCTAGCAGGGATGAGTGCGCATGAGGGTGGGTCGTGGCATGGACAGAGGGGAAGGACAAGAGGCGTAGTTTCCAGTGGCCATTGGAGAGGGTGACATGGGGTTAGGGCAGGTGCTGCAACATGAGGAACCTTCCTAGAGTTCCCAACAGGCAGCCTGAGAGCCTGCACAGCAAACTGTCAGAGCCCAGCCAGAGGTCACTGTCCCCTTGTTCTGGGCACCCCTGAAGGGACAGCTGGGTGCAGGCAGACACTGCATGGGGACACAGGCTCTGAGGGACTTTCTTGTTTCTCAGCTCTCTTCGTTGCCTCCTTTGAAAGTGAGGGTCCCGAGAACCACATGGAAAAGGACAGCTGGAAGACCCTCAGGTAGGATGCACCAGGGACACAGGAGTCTGTGAGGAAGAGGGAGGACTCAGCATGGGCATGAGGGTCACCCTCCTAGAAAGCGGGCCTGGGCACTGTTGCGTCCCTGGTGCAGGGCTGCCGGGCATGCTTGGTGGGAGGCTGAGGATGGTTTGGACTCAGACCGCTGTGCTCCGGCCGCCGTGCTGCCTGTCCTGTCCCCTTCTAGGACCACCCTCCTCAACAGAGCCTGAGGCGGATGCAGCCTGCGACGCCAGAGGAAGCACGTGTACTAACCGGGTTTAAATCTTGACTGATGTGGGTTGAGACGAGGAGGCCTCACTGGTTGGGGTCCATTTTGTATATAACTTTTATGAGAAAAAATGGTAATTATTTCACGCATCAACCTTTGGCACTTACAAAGTTTTTTTGTTTATTTTAAATAACAGGGCAGGGCCCTGCTTTGGGGAGGGGTACGGGAGAGTATCATGGGAGATGGCATCCATGATAACATCTTATTCTAATGAAATGTAGATTTTTATTTTCTACTTTTGATTATTAACATCTTATGAAAAAAATATTTTAAAAAACCCAACCAAAACCAACATGAGCCCTGCCTGCTAGGATGCCTTTCCAGCCAGTGTCTCTGACGTCGGGGTTAGTGCCTTAGAGGGTACTGGGGTCTGGTCTTCCTGCTCCATGGTTCGGGCTGCAGTGAGCCTCACTCAACCTGGGCACCTGCCCTCAGGAGCTTGGGCCACGAGGCTCTGCAGGAGGGCTGGTGGCTGGGAGGTCGCATCTGCACGCTTCTGGAAGCGAGCCTTTGAGTACGGGCTATCCAAAGTTTACATTTTCATTTTCCTTTCAGGGATTTGTGGGGTCAGGGAGGGGCAGGGGGCACCTGGCAGCATATTTTCTGTGACAATGTGTTCAGCAAATCATTCTTCAATTACATTTTAGAAAGGAGGAAATCTAAAATAAGGTAAGGGAGGGAAGCATGGAGTTGTCAGTTTTCTGATCTGCAACTGAAAGACACACTGAGCTGTGATGAAGAAAAATACACGGGTGACTGCAGAGTGGTGATATTTAGAGCTAGTCTTGAAACCCACCTACAGAGGGGAGGGCAGCCAATAGCCCTCCTCCCACCTGAGTGGGCAGCGCCCCTAACTGGAGTCGGAAACACAGAAAATTTGCCAGGCCATACTGTTGGAGCCCATTCAGATAAAACTGCCCAATGCTGGGAGGAGTTTTCCACACCCAGCTGGAGGAGCACACTCCATTTTTCCATGTCTGACTTCCTGGTGTGAGCCCTGGGCCTTACTTACCATGGTGCGGGACAGCTGTCCCTCAGAAAACGGGCAGTCCATCCACTCGGACCATCTCCTTCGCAGGAACTCCACACCCTCGTCCCTCTGCATTCCCAGCTTCCGCAGGAGCCTGGGTGATGACGGGCCAGGTCTCAATTCCCAAAGCTCCTGGGAGAGCCTGAGGACACTGGGAGAGGCTAGGCCTGGGAAGGAGGAGGCCCTGGGCCTGCTGCCCATGCCTCTGGCCCTGGGTGGAGAAGGAATAGTTCCACTGTATTGTCACAGTGTGTTTGCACTTTCCAAGGTTCTAGCTAGTACAGATTGTATATTGATAGTACATATTGCTTTGCTTATGTCTTTGAGATGAGAAAGGCTTAAAACTTGAGAATATATATTTGGAATACAGCCTTAGAATGGTTTCTGTACACATCCACGTGCACTTCACAGATGATCAGTTCTAGTACCTACTTGAAACAGCGTCTATGTCTGCCACTTTATTTTTCCAATTTGATAACATATCCTGATTTGATGTTTTGGTATTTGAAATGAACTCTGGAGTATGAAGCTGTACCATAATGTAGGATGTCAGTTTTGGTGTGACTGGACATACTTGCTTCAATAAAAGAACATGTCACTCCCCTCCCTTGCCTGGTGTGTGTGCGGCCCTGCTGCTGGCAGGAGACGTGGGCTCCCTAGGGCAGAGAGAAGGACAAGGCTGCCAGGCCTGCTACAGCCTTCCCAGGAGGGACTGGGCAAGGGCCTTTTGTCTCCAGTTGAGAATACTTTCTGACAAAGGGCTTTCCACTGAATAAGGCAAGACTCGAAAAAAGCTATAGGAGACACGTTTAGTCCTACTTTCCTCAATGTGAGCTCCAAAAAGATGTCACTGGTTGCTGTATTGCATGGTCACATGAGTTTGGGATACCTACTTAAGCCAGGCTGTATGGGCTGTGTTACTGTGGGAGGAGTCAGATGGCCTCTGAGAGGCAGGGGAGGTTGAGAAGTCCCTGGACGCGATCCTGCAGGGCAGCCTGCAGAACACAGGTCTGGAGGGGCCACTTCTGGTGTCACTGAGTTACACTCAAGTGCACCAGAGAAGAGGGGCACTGGGGGGCACACAGGAGCTCGGGAATTGAAGGAAAAGAACTAAGGCTCCAGGACGGAATGTGGTACTCCCCCTCTCTGCTTCTCCAACCTGCCCATTCCCTTGGTTCTCAGGCCCAGGCTGGGTGGGGACTGCACCCCAGGGCTAACTCAGCTCATTTTTCACAATATATTCAGTGTCATCATTCCCATGAGGTGAGCGCCACCCAAGAGAAACCTTTCTGGGGTGAAGAAATGTCCTGTATCTGTGCTGTCCAGTACAGCAGCCACCAACCACATGTGGGTCCTATGCACTGGGATGTGGCCAGTGTGACCGAGGGGCTGGAATGTGAATTTGGACAGCCAGGGGGCCCTGTGTTGGACAGAAGCTGGGCTCCAGGGCTTTGCCACCCCATGCAGTGGGGAGTGCAGGACAGGTGCTCAGTGTCTGTGCAGCAAATGGGGACATGGAGATGACACTTGAGCTTTGACATTTTTTACATCTTTAAATCAAATGGCATCCCTAATTTCCTGATGGAGGTCATTTTTGGAAGTGTTCACCTGCTTCAGCTGAAGAAAGGGGAGCACATAATTTGCTCTGGCCTTGGATACAACCTGGAGCTGGATGGGCCATCCTCCACCATGGGCAGTTCCTCCAGGGCAGTGGCTCTCAAGTGTGGGTCCCTAGGAACCTGCCTGAATGGTTATTCTTAGGCCCCACCACACACCTGCTGAATTGGGAACATGGTGGGGGCCTAGTCCACGCCCTGAGCTGCACAGCATGTGTGGGACGCACTCGGTGGGTGACTGTCTGTGTGCCTTGTGACCAGCACATCCCTGTGTGATAGCTGAATGTCACCCCTCAAACACGTTTCAGGAACAAATGGATGTCAGTGTGGCAGAATGATAATCTAAGGATCTGTACTAAATCATGGAGACTTATGTAACACATATTGCTTGTGACACACAACTATCATGCCCGTATGAGAACACAGGCCCTGCTCCTCAGGGAGGCTCAAGGCAGCAGGGCGGGAGCAAGGAGCTGGGGCACCTGGAATGAGTGCTGGTCTCCAGCCCCCAGCTGGAGAAGCTTGGACAAGCTGTTTACCTTACTACAGCCTCCATGTTCTCATCTGATCGGGCCTCCCTCGCAGGGCTGTGGTAGCAGACAGAGCAGATGCCTGGTTCATTGTCAGCACAGTTGGTGCTCGCTGTGGACTGGCCCTGGTGCTGGGGATGCCAAACAGCACTTCTGCAAAAGGTCATAGCACCTTTGGGAAAAGTGAAGCAAAGGCTTCTAAGTCCCCTTCTCAAAGGAACACCTGAGGTCCTCGTCCATACGAAGCATATTAGCATTCACCACAGTCACTGTTCAATCCAACCGACACAAAAATATAAATGGGAAAGAATTCCCACGAATTTGGATTCAGAACTTCTACAGGGAAAACTTACAACCTATCTGCAGGCCAGTTTAGATCAACTGAACATGTTAACACAATTTCAATCTTTATTCCCAAGAAGGAAGCCAGGATACTGTGAGGAAGGTGAGGGGCTGCCGAATACCCGGCGAGCATCTACCCCACAGCACCAGGATGCTCAGGTGCAGACACTCAGCTGCAGCTCTGCAGCAGCAGTGCCAAATGCTTCAGGAACATTGCAGGGAAGAGTGTAAGAAAGTAAACTGTGCACCTGTCCATTTCTGGCAGTGTGAGAGATTAAGTGTGTGCCCACTGAAAAAAACAGATAAAGTTGTACAAAATTTAAAATTCCAAGTAAAGGCAGGGAGCCAGAGAAGTCAGGGAAGCTCTGGAGCCTGCTTTGCCCTGAGGGCAAGGACCATGAGCTTCTGTTTTCAAGTTCTGAGAGGTAGAGAAAAACGTACAGGGCCTGCCTGAAGATGAAGAATCAAATATGAGATCCCAGCCCATAAAGCTGGCATCCCAAAGAGACACCTCTCAGTGCAGCAAGAGCTTGAAATAAGGTGCTCCACCCAAACCCCACAGAGGGAGCTAAGGAAAGCTGCCTGATTTGAACCTCAGCACTGAATGAAGGCAGGGAAATTTTACCCTGGTAATTGTTAACAATGAGTCAGTGAGCTTCACAAAATTTTGTAGCACAAATCAACACAGGTCCAACACAAACTTTAGGCTGAGAATTCTCTGAACTGGCCCTGAACTGGTACTGCCCTTAAGCATCCAATAGAAACAAACGTTCTGACCTATATTCCAGTTTAAAAAAAAAAATCTCTCAACTGTGTCTAATTTTGTTCAACCCATCTGTTGGATTTTAAAAATTCAATTATTGTAGTTTTCATTTCTAGATGCTCTATTTGGTTCTTTTCCAAATCTGATCATAAGTCTGAAGAAATTACCAGAATCTAACACAAAGAGAATAAAGCCCTGGAAAACAAGAAACAGGTTGAGACATGGAGAATACAACGGTTTTAACATGTTATCAGAGTTAGAGAAGCAAAGACAGAATGAGGCAGAAATCATTTTTAAAAATCCAACAGCTAAAAATTTTTCAGAGTAATAATCCAAGAAGTCCAAAGAATCTCAAGCAGGACCAGAAAAAAACAAACCCACAAAAAGATGTATCATAGTGACAAACAACAGAGAAGGAGAGAATAGACTGCTTTCAAAGAATGACGGCTGTTAACGCTGATCATTCACAGCAGATATAACTGAAGCCAGGAGACAGTGGAATAGTAACTTCAATGTGCTAAAAAAAAAAAATAAAAAAAAAAAATGGCCAATTTAGAATTTTCTACTTTTTAGAACGATTTATTAAATGAGAGATAATAAAGATGTTTATAGACAAACTAAATGGAGTTTGCTATCCACAGACCTTCCCTAAAAGAAAGCCTAAAGGATGGATCTTGACTCTTACTGAAACCCATGTACAAAGCGATTTCCAAATGCACCACAAACCTAAATATGAAAGGCAATGCAATGAAGTGTCCAAAAAAGAATTTAAAAAATCCTGGAGTAGGAAACGTTTCTTAAATTGGACACCAAAATCACTAGTCACAAAAGAAAACTGGTTTTTATTGAAATTAAGAATTTCTGTTTACTGACAGATACCATTAACACAGTGAAAGAGAACTGTTGCTAGGAGAAGGAATGTGTAATATGTAAATCTGACAAACGACTCAACTTCAGAATACAGAAGTAACTCCCACAAATCAACTAAAAAAAAAATCAAACTAATTTTTTTTAAAAGGAAGCAGAAAAACTTCAACAGGCATTTCACAAAAGAAGATAACCAAATGGCCAATAAGCATATGAGAAGGTACTTGGATATCATTCCGATTATAAACTAAGATGAAAATAAGAACTGTACATCCCCATTAGAAATTACAATTAAAGAGTTTAAATTCAAAACACTGGAAATACTGTGTTGGGGAGGATGTAAAGCAATTGCTCTCTCAAACATGGCTGGTAAGGTTAACCTTACCTGTCTGCTCCTGGTGAAGCTGATCAAGAAAAAATGGAAAGCATAAATAATATCAGGAATGAGAAAAAAGGATATTAACTATAAATCTTATATGTATCACACAGAAAACAGGATATTGATTTCATCTGAATTTTCAAATTTATCAGTATAAATTTCTAGAAAAGTACAGTTTACCCAAAATAACTCAATGAAAGCTTACTCTAGAAAAAATACAAAGTCTGAATAGTTCTATAATTATTAAATAAATTGAACTGATCAAAAATCTTCCCAAATAGAAAAGTTCATGCCCAAGTGGCTTTCAGGCAGTTCTTCCAGGCAGTTCCAAATATTCTAGGAAGAAATTAATTCCAGTTTTACAAAAATTTTCTAGAAACAGAGTAAGAAGGAACACCTATAACTTAGTTTATAAGCTAGTATAAGCTCAACAGAAAAGCCCAATGAAGGCCAGCAATGGTGGCTCACGCCTGTAATCTCTGCACTTTCAGAGGCTAAGGCAGGAAGATCACTGAAGACCAGCCTGGACAACAAACCAAAACCCTGTATCTACACACACACAAAAGCAACAACAAAAAAAATGAGTTAGGTGCAGTGGGGCGTGCCTGTGGTCCCAGCTACTTGGGAGGCTGAGGTGGGAGGATCACTTAAGCCCGGGAGGTTGAGGCTGTAGTGAGAGCCATGACTACCCCACTGCACTCCAGCCTTTGAGACAGAGCAAGATCCTGTCAATTAAAACAACAAACAAACAAACAAAAATGCCCAACAAGGAAGAGAAAGGAAGTTATAGGCAATCTCATTCATGAACACAGATTAAAAACACCTGAAGTATATACATAACCACACCCCCAACACGAATACGTATGAGATATGTAAATGTGAATACCTGTGTGTATATGTATGCAAACCAAATCCACCAATATAAAATAAAAATAACACATGACTGACTGGAATTTGTCCCATAATGCAACGGCACTTGAGAAAATCTATTACCTCAATTCATCTCATTCACTTCTGGTGGGAATGCAAAATGGTACAGTCACACTGGAAGATAGTTTGGCAGCTTCCTACAAAGCTAAGCTAAACATTCTCTTACCATATGATCCAGCAATTGTGTTCCTTGTTATTCGTTCAAAGGTTGAAAACATGTCCACACAAAAACCTGCACAAAGATGTTTATTGCAGTTTTATTCATAATTACCAAAATTTGGAAGCAACCAAGATCCCCTTCAATAGGTGATTGGGTAAACTTTGGTTATATCCAGACAATGAAATATTATTCAGTACTAAAAAGAAATGAGCTCTCAAGCCATAAAAAGGCATGGAAGAAGCTTAAATTCATATTACTAAGTCCAAGAAGCCAATCTGAAAAGGCTACATACTGTATGATTCCAACTATATGACATTCTGGAAAAAGCAAAACTATGGAAACAGTGAAAACATCAGCGGTTGCTAGGGGTTAGAGGGCAGAGAGAGATGAGTAGTCAGCCTAGAGGATTTTTGGGGCATTGAGGCTGTTCTGTATCATACTGTAACATTATACATTTGTCTAAACCCATAGCATATACAAAACCAAGAGCGAACCCTAATGTAAACTATGGACTTTAGGTGATTATTTTGTGTTAATGTGGGTTCACTGGTTGTATCAAATGTATACTGTCATGGCAGATGTAGATAGCGGAAAAAAACTGTGCATGTGTGTGGACAGGGGGTGTCTAAGGAAACTCCACATACCTTCTGTTCAATTTTTCTGTGAACCTAAAACTGCTCTAAAAAATAAATTCTATTGAAGTAGAAATCATAAGGAAAAAAGATTAGTCACAATAAAGTTAATTTTTATTCCTCAAAAAGTACCATCAAAATTGGGAAAAGACAAACCCCATTGGGTCTTAATGAGAGAAGATATCTGCAAACATTAAACCAACAAGAATTGGTATCCAGAATATGTAAAGAATCCCTATGAACTGGTAAAAATGGACAAAAAGATTGGAGATAAATCATAACTACAGTTCATGCCTACAGCCCACTAAACTGGCAAGAATAAGCCCGACAAAATTAAGTACTGTCAAGGATGCATAATGAACTCACCCAGGGCCGGAAGGTGGTCCACTCTGGAAAGTTAAACATGCACACAATTGATGGCTCAGCATTTTTACTTCTGGAGAAATTCTGGCACACTTACAAGAGATATACAGTGATGTTCACAACAACATGCTTGTAACAGCAAAAGCAAACCACAAAAATCTATACACAACCCAAACAGTTACCAACAAGAGAATATAAAAACAACCTGGAAACAACCAAAGTACTAACAGTAGAATAAGTATAGTATTACATTCATATTGAAGCGGTTAAAATATGCCATTGTGCCATACTATTTAAATTGAAGACGTGAAAAACAGCAGGGGCAAAAAGGTGAGTGACCTTTGTGCTGTTTCTTAAGAGCAGAAGATGGATTCCATTGTGAAAGACACTCTCTATACTAAAAGGAAAGGCAACAAATATCCTTATGTTCAATGATGAGAAGTTTGAGACCAGGAGAATATTGTACGAACCTTGTTAGAATAACTATTTTTTTAAGCTTCCCATATAATATAGTCACATTTTCACAGTTAACTAGTCTATGTCCAATTCAGTATGTAAGTGACTCTACTTCTTTTGGTTTTTATGAGGGCTCCTGTACCACATAAAATTTGTATTACATAAATTTATATGTGTTTTTCTTGTTAATCTATCCTATGCCAATTTAACCTTCAAGCCCAGCTGGGACCCTAAGAAAATGGGGAGGAGTTTTTCCCCTCCCTAGTACAATTGGAATACTATTCAATAATAAACTAATTTTGAGAATAACATGAGTGAACCTCAAAAACACTGAATGAAAGAGAATACATAATGAAATAATAATGTATATAAATTCAAAACCAGGCAAAATAGTCTACTGGGAGACACATAACTGGGAAAACTATGAAGAAAACAAGTAAAAACTATCACAAAAATCAGAGTGTGACTGTTATGGAAAGGGTGAGTGCAGGTGATTAAGAAGGGGCACAGGGGCCTGTCCCTGGCAATGCCCTGTATTTTAATCTGAGCAGCTGCTGGACTGGTGTTTGCTTTATTTTTTTAAGTACACAATTACATGTTATATGTAATTTTCTGTCTTTATGATATTTTACAATAGAAATAAATTAATTTATCACATTTTCATATAACTTTTGTTAATAAAATACTTTATTGGTACCATTTAATAAATGTCAAAAACATAGTAACATTTCCATTGCTTAGCTTTCATCTTTAAAAGCTAGTTTAAAAACAACAGGAGCAAAAGTAAACTCATTTGATTCTCTCAAAAAACAAGCTGTAACTTACCTTTGCAAATAATTAAGTTCTCTCACTTTAAATATAATTCACTGGTCTTTATAATAAATAATTGTATTAATATATAAAAGGAGACAGTGGCCTGAATTGTTTTGCAGAGAACATTTCACACATCTTTTAAAAAATTCCTACACACTACCACACCTTAAAACTTGTAAGAATAATTAGGTGAGTTATTATAATACTGAATTAATATAGCACCTAGAAATTTGAAATTTGTAATATTTCAGATGATATGATTTACTGAGAAAAAGAGTAATGATTTTTCTTCTGTGAATTTTCAGGGGTTTATGTACTAATAGGATTCAACACAGGTCTCTTTTAAAAGCCGAAGGTTAAAAAATTTATGCATGCTAGGAATTGACCTCATGGTAACAGATCCATGTGTGACAAATAATGTAGTGCAGTCCTATCTGAATATAATTTCTTCTTCACTTTGTCTCATTAACTTATACCTCACTCAATTAAAACATTCTATATGCAAGTGATATATTTCTCTAAAACATTCCACATTTCAGATTTCCATTCAGACTATCTTCCCCTCTTCCTCCCTTTTCTCAAATCAGAGTGATTTTGTTTTATACCATTTGCTTTTCCTCCCCTCAATGAAACTCTTTTCAACTCAAAGTATTACAGTAATGCAAATACAAATGTAGCATATATTAATATATTAGAAAAAAGGATAGTAAATACATATGGTTCCATGCCAAAGGAGAAAATCGAAAGCAAAAACAAACAAAACCATGCTATGTTTATCTATTCTGAACCATCATGGGAAGATCCTGATGTAGCTGGCGCACATAAACTAATGTTCCCAGACACACCTAGGATCCTGTACTCCAGCATAATTAAATGTTCTGTTAAAAATGTTTCCATGTTATTCTGTTTGTTCAAAATACTCTACAGCAAC